AAAAGAGCAAAAGAATTAAAGCTCAACTAAGAGAATAATATTCAACTACAACTGAAATATACATGCACTTCACACCATTTGTATCAGCTCCAGAGAAGATAATGTTTTAAGAGTTATTATTCTTGTATAGATTAAGAATCTTTTGTTTTAAAGTGTGTTGTATTATATTTGAATACCTCTAATTATTAATCAAGTGTTATTTTAAGTTATTCCTTCTCTAAACAGTCAGTTTTGATAAAGTCTCTTGTTGTGGGCTTGAACATTGAAGTCTTGGATTCGTGGAATATGAGCAAGAAAGTCTTGGACTGTAGGTCTAAGCAAGGAAGTATTGTACTCGAGGTATAATCAGGGAAGTCTTGAATCCGAGGGGTTTAAGCAAGGATGTCTTAGGATGTGAGAATCTAAGTAGGAAGTCTTGATCAGGTGTTGATTGAGCAAGGAATTCTAAGGTTGTAGGTTTGAGAAGAAAATTCTTATACTTGAGGTTATAAGCAGTTGTTATATGTTTGATTATAGTGGAAATCTTTTGTGCTGCAAGGGGACTGAACTACTCTTAGTTGGAGAGGAACCAAGATAACTTTTGTGTGTTTTTTGCCCTTTTTATTTACTTCTATTATTTTATCTGCTGCACTTCTAAATCATATTCTGAACTTTTATTTAGATTATGAACTCTAGTTCATAAGTAATATCAATTTGGAATACACAATTCAACCCCCATTCTTGTGTATTTTTCTCACCTTCATTGTAGGCTTTATTTAGCAATTCAATTTGGTCCATGAAAAATACAAGTAAATACATAACTTCTCTATTGGGCTATACCTAGTTTTTGCATCATTTAAAACTCGACTAAGGTAATAAAGGACTCTTTCAACACCATCATCATCCTTTTGAACTAAAATACTTCCTATTGTTAATTGAGATGCAGAAATATAACATTTTGTAGACTTATTTCTCATAGGAGGTAACGAGATAGGAAGATTCATCCAATAAATTTTTATGTCATCAAAAGCTTGTTGATGCTAGAATTTCCATTTGAACCCATATTATTTCTTTAAACACATTAGCAACAAAAATATCTTTGTTTTGCCACTTAAATTTCAAATAAACCTCCTCAGGAAACAAATCTTGCCCAACAAAGATTGAAGTTGTTTTTTATTTGACGGTGAGCTTGTATTGAGTATCGCCTTTGTCTTGTTTTGGCTTATTTCTATACATTTTTTATGAAATACAAAGCCTTAAAAATTTCCAGCATGGACACCAAAATCACATTTTAGTGGATTCATTTGTAGTCCATATTTCCTCATCCTTCCTAAGGACTGTTTTAGGTGGTATAAATGACCATTCTTCGACGAGGATTTTACAACTATGTAATCAATATAAACATTCATAAGGGTTTCAGTGAAATCATGAATCATAGTATTCATAACCCTTTATTATGTTGTACCGGCATTATTCAGGCCAAAGGGCGTCACTACCCATTCATAGGTTCCCAAGACCCCATGACATCGGAATTTTGTTTTTGGCACATCCTCTTTTGCAATAAAATTTTGGTTATACCATGAATAGCCATCTAAAAGACTTAAATATTCAAACCTTGTTCCTGTGAGTTCGTGTTCCCATATGAATCCATGAGTGGGATGTATCTTCGTTGAATAGGAAACATCTCCTTGTAGACAAAATCATGTTCTAATAGAAAAACAGGGTGAAATGTTAGAAAACTTTTTATTGAATGTTTTCTTCTCTATATGATTAAATCTAGTCAAGAAATAGCTTTGGTCTGATTCGACATTTTCCACAATGTCATCCGGCCTCCATATAGAATTTTTTTGGTGTAGAGATTAAGGAGTTGCCCTCACACCTTGTATTCATTCACGACATAGCAGTATATTATAATTCACATTGAACAAAATGACTGCAAACAATGTTGGTCTTACAATTTTACCTACATCAATGTCAACTTGTATAACTCCCAAGGACTTTCTCGTCTTGCCTTCATAATCTGACAAAACCATATTGTAAGGCTTGAAATTTATATATGTCTTACCAGTTCTCCTTAATAGGGACTTTAGCATTAAATTAATCGCAACTCTCATTCGATTAAGACTTTGTTAACACTTATTTCGTCAGCCATATCCCATATAAAGAGGGGCTTAAGGTGTTGCTTCATTCCTTCGTTAGCATGTTAGTTATGCCATTTTCTTCCTTCATACAACCATTATTCCTAACATGATAACACAGAGGATTATGATTTGCTATCTCTTCAGCAAGACAATCATCTTCTACATGTGTCACCTCAATAATTGTATCAAATTATATATGTAGAACATAAATAACGTTACATATTATGTCAAGCTCATCTTTTAATCCAGATTCAAAATTATCTGTAATCATATCATCAACTTCAGTTGGCATGGAATCCTTGCACTTACGCTTAACCCCTGGTAGAAGAGGGGGAAATTCTTTCCTTCATGGGTCTCTTTTCCACTCGATCATCTGTCAGTGTTGTGGATTTTCCATTGTTACATGACTCTTCGGCCTCAAAAGCTTCTTTATTTTTACTTTAGTTCCTTTTCCATTGGGTTTTAGTCATAGGCTTTTTACCCAAGTAATTCTTAGAAACAAATGATTAATTCTTCGACACCTGGGAATTATCGTCGTATGATGAACTTGTGCAAAATTTGATCACATTCTATTTTTGTTTATCAACATTTGGTTTTCTAGTAGTTGGATCCATTCACCAAGAGAAACATTGGCCGGTGGAACATAAGTTTTATTCTGACTTCTACAATGACGCGAAGGTTCTTGGTACTTCTTGTAAGGGATCTGCCCTTTTTCAAATGCAAATTTGGGTCTTCTGTCATCCCAAATGCTTTTCCTTAGTTGTTGAGGCTGGATATTATTTAGGCCTTTTATTGCCTCTTTGTAAAACACTGCTGCAACAAGAACATAGCATTAGTTCAGATCCTTTGATTTTGTACCAATTTAAAAAGTTGAATAATTCTTCCTTATGCCAAATTAATCTCATTTTCTTCGACGTATTCAAACATTACGTCGAATTATTGATTATTATCATCTATTTCTAAGTAAGCAACATTTTCTTTCCTATGATATAAATTTGTTTTGGATTTTTCTTCCATTGGGTGTTCGACTTGTCTAGCCCTATATGCTAATTAAGCCATATCACTAGTATATTGAGTATCTAGCTTCTTTCTAATAGAATAGTCTAAACCATCTGTAGTCATTTCGACTAGCTCATGTTCAGACACTTAAGTAAAAAACCTTGACGTCATTAATTTGAACCTATTGAGATAATCGTCTATTGGTTCAGACGATTTTCATTTCACATTGGCTAACTCTTTCAGGCTAATTTTGTATTGAACCATGTAGAAGCATTATTGTCCCATGGAACACTCTCTCTAGTTGATTCCAATTATGAATGGAATTTGGAGGGAGAAGTGTGAACCATGTAAAAGCATTATTGGTCAGAGATTTTGGGAAGCATTTTATCTTTATGTTCTTGTTATAAGCCAGATCACCAGCTTCTGTCTGGTATCGAGCGATATATTCGACATTAGGCTCACTAGCATCGCCTGCAAATTTAGTAAACTTAGGAATTTTTCAACCCCTAGGAAATTCAGTTTACAAGACATATTTAGATAATGTAGAAACGAAATTTGGCATATGAAGACCAACATTAAGACCATTTTGAGTCAAGGTTTGTTCAACCATATTGGTTATGTTATTTTTCCACAAAAATAGTTTTGTTGGACTCTCCCAAGCATGTGATCTCCATCTTCGATCCTCTTTACCAACGCCATATTTTTGACTACCAAAAGTACTTAAAAAGGATAAAGTAAATGAAGAAAAATAGCAAAACAACCGGATAAAAAGTTTGAATTAAGAGTGAGACATAAGTTCATACATTTCTCATAAATTCTTTCTCTTTGTGACTTGGATGAGGTTTTTTTTCTCCAGAAAATATAATGAAATGTGACCAATAATGCTTCCAACAATTATTAACTCTCTATAATTCGACACGTATCTTGCGACATGAACTTTTGTTTTTTGATGTGTTTCCACGTGTCTTCGATTCTTAAACTGTATTGTGGTCTACTAAAGAGAGGAAATATGGTCTACTAAAGAGGAGTTGTTGGTCATAGTGATTCTTTAGTCTTAAATATGGTTTCTTGCTAAAACTTCTTGTATTTCCTACACATTCTAATAGTGAAGGGGGTCTTGTTTTTTATGCTTATGGGTACTCTTTTATTCATTCTTTTACCATCATTTTTTTGGATGTTTGTTAGTATTAGAGTTTGGCCTAACACAACCCTACGAAACCGGTTGATAAGGTGAGGGGTGTCACTCTGTATAAACTATTTCAATGCTCTATCTCCAACCAACGTGGGACTTTAGGATCTTCCTAACTCACCCCCTTACATCCAACACTCTTTTTTTGGGCTTGGTGCATGGATTTAAACGGTGGACTTCCCAAGGTACGATCGATAGACTCTAATACCATATTAGAGTTTAGCCTAACACAATACTACAAAACCAGTTGGTAAGATGAGAAATTTCACTCTATATAAATTATTTCAATGTTCTTTCTCCAACCATTAATGTGAGACTTTAGGATCTTCCTAACAACTAACCTCTTACTTTTTTTAATCTCTTTTCCTCTTTTGTTTGTATCAGATGTGGTATTTAGATAGTAACGGAACCCACAATTAGAGTGCTAGAAAAAAAATATTCATAGCAATTAATATATCAATCTTTATACTTTTCTTTTAAAATAGAAATTTTAATTTTTTTAATGTTATAATAATATAATGTTCATAAGGGACAAAGAGAGAGAAGACAGGAGTAGAGAACATAAACTTTATTCTCAAAGCAAGAAAATACAATTTAGTAATAAAAGACCATTTTAAAATTAAGAGTGCATCAAGACTTTTGAAATTTATTTTGAACATAAAACATAAAACCTTCAACCAAATTGTTCTTACTCATGGCTTTCTAGTAAACGATAAGGTAAGATTGGTGAACTTAGTTCTCTGTTTAGACATTCGATCAGTTAAAATATTTTCATAGCATTCAAAAATATCTTCAATAACACTATCACCAAAGTCACAAACTAGCAAAGGTTCAGTCACAGCCCTAATGCATTTTGCCATATGGTATCCATCGTCTTTGAACGATTTCAACATTTCAGATCCGATGTCCAAAGCTTCCCAATGATCAAGAGCATTCCAATTCACTTCAGAAATATCTAGTTTATCAATCGCAAATGACCCTTCCCTGAGAACTTCCAGTTTCACTTCGGATGGAGAAGGATAGTAGTTTGGGATGTTGAAAGTATCGAGTTTCTCATCGTCAATGATTCCCTGCAACATAATTGAATATGTTTATAAATCCTATCTCCACTGATAAAAACCAATATTATTAGGTTTAACATGCCACGATTTTGTTTAGTTTTTAGTAGTTATTACACATTGTCACAACAAAAAAAATACCTGCAAGACCATGTCCTTAAGAGCAATTGTCAACAGATCCCAAATGTAACAACACTCCTTGTTTGATGGATCATCATTTTTTCTTCCTATAAATGTTAGAATCATGCGACCACCTTCTACGATTTCTTGTGCACGACACTCGAGAAAAAGAGAGAAATCTTTTTGAAATTGCTTGTAGTAAGCCTTGATGACATTCGAAGGGCTTGTGGTCGACAAATAAATATTACCCTTATTTTTGTTGTCTACACCCTCTGGAACCTAATTAATCAACAATCAACAAAGTTATCGATAGGAAACATTTATTGAATACAAAAAGAATATGAACAAACCTTTGATAGCCAATGAAGACTATAAGAGGAATGAACAAAATGCAAACTTTTATCTGCGAAAATCCTGCCATAAAATGAACCAGGAATCCCAGAGAAGTAGCATGAACCCATTTTAGTTTCCATTTCATCAGCGAGTTTTTTCTTAAAGGTTTCAAGGGACTTAAATACGTTGTTGAAGTCGTTTCCTGGTAGATCGTTAAGAGAGACTTTATACTCGGGAGATTTCTGATTAAATTTTCGACAAAGATTCTCCACCACCTTGATAGTTTCTGAGATCACTAACAAAGTGTTTGGTCCAAAAGAACAACCTAAGTCAGCAATTGCCAAACTTTTGGGCAATGTGTTGCAGTACAAACTTGTTATGGCTTCATCTCTGAGAGCTTTTGTCAAAGAAATCACCTTTCTCTGCATATTCACAATTGTTTTTTTCTTTTATTATTATTAATTATTTTAATTTAATCAAGACAATACAGAAATAACAAACAGATTCACAATAAACGAAAATATATTAAAATATTTATTTGTCACTCTAAAATATGGACATTTTTGTGTAATAGTTATATAGTTACATTATTTATAAGTGTAGATATAAATATACCTGAAGTGAGGAGTTGTTTGCATAGCTTGCTTCTTCAACGCTCCCAGTCATGTGTAGTTCCATTCTTGTTACTTTTATCTTTCTTTCAAAGTAGTTTTGTTTTAATGCTATTGCATTCAACTAAGTACTTCCCATTCCACAAAATATATATATATATATATATATATATATATATATATATATATATATATATATATATATATATATATATATATATTCTCGAGTGATTATGGTCCATGCTTACATCAATCTAAAAAATAATAATTTCAAATTCATCAAAATAAAGAAAGAAAGGGATGGAGAAATAAATATTCGACTGATTATGGTATAAAGAAATACTTTAACATGTGAATGAATTTAAAATAATAAATCTATATTAAATGTTATGATTATTTACAAATATATCAAATCTTGATTATGTTTCTTGTTGGGGTCATAAATGTGGAGGTTCAATATGAGGAAAAAATGGATGGAGAAATAAATATTTGACTGATTATGGTATAAAGAAATATTTTAACATGTGCATGAATTTAAAATAATAAATCTATATATAGATGTTATGATTATTTACAAATATATCAAATATTGATTATGTTTCTTGTTGGGGTCATAAATGTGGAGGTTCGAGAAAGTATTTATATTGGAGAATTTATTTATGAAAGACACATTACATGTTCATATAAAATTTTAAAAATGATAGATGTGTGGATTCTCTCACTTACAAATATTCAAGTCTTCATTTTTTTAATCAATGTGGAACTTCTTCACACTTTATTTTCTCGACATTTTCAACTCACATTTGTTATTCTCAAAATCCCTCACATTTTATTATTATTATTATTATTATTATTATTATTATTATTATTATTATTATTATTATTATTATTATTATTATTATTATTATTATTACATTTAAATTCTATTTAAAAATGTTTTTCCGAAATAAAAATAATAAATAAAGGGTTTAATACAGTTTTGATTCTTTTTTTCTTTTCTTTTTTTAATTTTACATATTGTTAGCATGTGATTTTCTAGTCAACCTGCATCAAAATCCATTAAGTTTGGTTTGCAAAAATCTCAAGAATGGACCCATAAGATTATAATCACTCTCTTCTTAAAACATGTTTAGAATCTCGAAAAGATTTGCAGTCATTTGCCATATTCGATAGGAAAATGGTGTGAGATAAATACACAGACTAGACACAAGTAACTAAAGCATGGTTCGACATTAATATTACAAGATTCGACTAGGAATTCTCGATAGAGACAGTTGAAGACTTGGAAATGTTTTTCGACAGAAGTGGCAGTTTTGCAGCTGTTTAGAGACTGAAGGCACGTGGAAGCAAGAAAGAGGACAAAAGATCGCATAATGATGTACGTGTTGAGTACTGGATATTTGATGGTTGTCGACGGTTACTGATGTATATGTACATGATTCGATTTAGTCTCTGTAACAAGGGTTCACATTTTTCATTGTTAGCCTCTATAGAATTCAAACATCTAAGTTGCAGAGATAGAGAATTTATGAAAAAAAAAATGAATCTGAGTCTCATTTTTAACCTAAGCATTTTATTTGATTGGTTTTGTCATTTATTTTCATTTACTTTATCATTCAAACAATTATGCTCTTTATTTTTGAAGTTTCTATCCATTTATCCCGTATTAAAATATTTAGTTTCCGAGCACGAACACATTATCTTATAACTTTTTTGCACAATATGTCCTAGGACTTTTTTCGAGTTTAATCCTATAACTGAATTAAAACTTGTGATTCTTTACCAAAAATACTGATAAAAAATTGGCACGCCTAGTGGGACCTTTTTGTGCAAGAAATTTAAACTTTTGTAAAAAATAATGTTTGTGCCTTTATTTACTGTTTTGGTTTTTGTTCATGCAATGTTTTCAATCTCTGAGTGTTTATGCACTAGAGTAGTGGTAAAAATCTTGTTGAGATGGCTCGTCCAACATCAAAAAATTATTTCCTTTCCCAGAACAACCCTCTAGATGTACAAGAACAACAAATCAAATCGTCGGTTGGTGATGTATAAACTTCAACATCAGTTTCGATAACATTTCCGGAGTTGGTGATTCCCCCGCCACAAACAACCAGTTTCCCAACTACTCCCAGGGTTAAACAAACTACTATAAGAGACCTTATGTCTTCTTTCCTACCAAGTTTTATGCTACACTCTAGTAGTAGGGAATATTCTTATGGCATGACAACTACAATGATGGCAGACCTACAAACTAATGCATCTACATATGCAGATAATGCAATTACTATTCCACCCCCTTTTAATCAATAATTAGCATGAGGATCAACTACTATCAATCCTAGTCGAATGGCACAACCCTAAGAAGGATTAGGATATGTCCCTCAGGTTATGCCACCCTTAACTACTAGTTCCCTTTTGGTCATGAGGCAACAAATGGATGATACCAACCATGATATGGCCAATATACTTACCCAACAAGTTGGTACTTTGTTTAATCCTTTAATGAAAAACACAAGCCACACTTACCAATAATTGGAGCATCAAATGGGTTGAATTACTGATTTCTTTTGTGCTCCTCAAGTACCTATTCAACCAGACCCTCAAATCCAAGCAATTGGGGCAATTCAAAACCCCGGGGTTGCAAACAATTGTGGTTTTCCTGACAATCATGTTCAACAATGGGTTATGTCTCAACCTGTCGAACATCTCATACCTAGGGCAGTTGAAGGAAATTTAGGTCAAAATGTCCTAGAGGTAATACTGGTCAATAGAAACTAGGATGTAGACTAAGTGGTTGGAAGAGTCCATCAAAACTATTTTGGGGGCAGAATAACATAGCAAATGTAGTTTAACAAATTTTATCCCAAAACGGTCTTAACATTGATCTTCATATACCAAATTTTGTTTCTGCCTAGGCTGAGTATGTATTGTAGATTAAACTCCCAAGGGGTTGGAAAATCCCTAAGTTCACTAAGTTTGCAGGTGATACTAGTGAATCTACTATCGATCATATTACTCGATATCAATCAGAGGCAGGCAATTTAGCCAATAATGAAAACTTAAAAATGAAATATTTCCCAGACTCTTTAACTAGAAGCACTTTCACATGATTCACTACACTTTCTCTAGACTCCATATATAATTTGAATCAACTAGAAAGAGTATTCCATGAATAATTTTATATGGGTCATTCAAAAATTAGTCTGAAAGAATTAGCCAGCGTGAAGATAAAATTATTTAAGCTGATAGATGACTATCTCAATAGGTTTAGGTTAATGAAGGCGAGATGTTTTACTCAAGTTCCTAAACATGAGTTAATTGAGATGGTTACAAATGGTTTAGACTCTTCAATTAGGAATAAGTTAAATACCCAGTACCTAAGGGATATAGACCAATTAGCTGATAGGGTTCGACAAGTTGAACAGTTGAAGGCTGAAAAGGCTAGGGAAAATCGACACCCTAGGAAAGAGAAAGTTGCTTATGTAATACAGACGCAAATGGTGGTCAAGAGATTGACATAGTTTTTGAATTTGTCAAAGAAAATGAGGTTAATCTGAAAGAATTAAAGCCATGGCCTCCATATGTTTGCAAGGTTTTAAGACCTTCAAATGGGAAAAATCACGACAGACCAAGTAAAAATGAAATTTTTACTACAAAGCCTATACATTTGTCATAACTAAAATATGATGAGATCTTTGATCTTATAGTGGTCAATGGTCAGATCATAGTGCCGACGGGCCTAAAAACACAACCAACGGAACAAAGGAAGGAAAAGGTTTTTGTAAATATTATTACTTTCTTGGTCATAAAATGTCTCAATGTATTCTTTTCAGGGATTTGGTGCAAAATGCTCTTAAGGTTGCAGGCTGAAATTTGGGGACCAACATAAGCAACCAATGGCAATCAATTTAGACCCTCTGCTGGTCCAAGAAGTAAACTAATCAAACCTGTAGAAATTATGATGGTAGAGGCTACTGAAGGTCTCGACACAGATGTCAATGAGGGGATTATGGCAGATTATGCTAATAATATGAAAGTTTTTTACCCAAAGGATAAGGAATAACTAATTTATTTTTTACACAAGTGCAAACTCAAAAGGTCTAAGGTGATGATATGCCCTCGTTACAGTGTTGTTATTGACAAGAAGGTTACCAAAGACCTTAAAAATGTAAAGTTTGAACAACCAAAGAGGATTAATTGAAGTGACAAGTGGCCACAATTTGCTTTTGAAAAGAGAGGAGTCCCCTACAAAAAATACTAGTAGCCTAGAAACAAGTGGAGAAGTCAAAGGAAAACTTACATTCAATCTGTTGTTGTTCCCTCTGGTGAATGGGTTCAGCCAACAGTCAGGCCAAACTCTGACTAATAGAATAGGAGGGTAATCGAATTTGGCGCTTGTTCTTCCTATCAAGACAATTATCAAGTGTCGAAGAACTACTCCTATGGTTCTAAAAAATATTTGGGTAAAAATCCCATGACTAGAACTCAATGGAGAAGGCGCCAAAGAAAAAAGAAGGTGACTATGGAAGATGTAGATTCAAATAATAATGGAAAATCCCTAACACTAACAGAGGATCAAATGGCAAAGAAGCCCATGAGGGAAAGAATTTTTCCTCCTTTGCCAACAATAGTTAATCCAAATGGTAAGGATCGCTAGCCAAATAAAGATGATGAGATGCTGACAGACAATTTCGACTATGGATCATAGAATGATGTTGATGTTATATGTAATTTTAATTTCTTTTTTCCCATTGAATTTGATAGGATTACTGAGGTAACAGAAGAAGAGGATAATAGACTTGTTGAAGAATTAGCAAACCATAAGCCTTTATGTTACTATGTAATGAATAAATATTGCGTAGATGAAAATAAAGTCATTTTTGAAAGGCCTAATTTAGGTATGCAACAGCTCCTAAAGCCCCTTTTCATATGAGCTAGGGTTGAGAATGTAGGTGTTAATAAAGTCTTAGTAAATGGAGGGGTGGCGATTAACCTAATGCCACGTTCTTTAATAAAGAAGATTGGAAAATATGGCATTGACTTAAGACCTCATAACATGGTTATTTT